GGATATGTGATATATCCCCAATTGCTATGAAGGTGTATCAGGATAACATGGCCCAATCTATGAAGTGTACAATCAAGTGGAATGGTGAATATGGCTATGAGGTTGAGGATACCTCATTAAAAGTGGTGTTGAAGCATTGTGTGAATATGCAAGCTCAAGCTTGTACATGCAGGTCATGGATGCTGAAGGGTATCCCTTGTGCTCATGCCATTACTGCTATGCATTTCAAGAACCTTGACCCAATTAACTACATATCTCACTGGTACCACAAATCCACCTATCTGAAGGCATATTCAACATTCATCCAGCCTGTGCCAGACATGCAGATGTGGCCAACATCTACCAATCCAACAATTGAACCCCCACCAATTAAAAAGATGCATGGCAGACCAAAGAAGAAGAGAAAAAGAGAAGAAACTGAACATCCTACTTCTGGAAAGCTTTCAAGAAGGAGTATGGAGATGACATGTTCAAACTGTGGTGGATATGGACACAACAAAAGGAGTTGCCCTAAGAAAGCAAGGCCTGCAGATTCTACTCCGGCAAATGCTTCATATATACAAAGATGTGGAGGAAGAGGAAGAGGCAGAGCAAGAGGAACAAGAACTGTTGGCAGAGCTTTAACTCCAACTACTTCTGCCCCTACTGCTGCTGGTAGAGGAAGAGGAACTGCTGCTAGTAGAGGAAGAGGAACTGGTAGTGGTCGGGGAAGTTCTGGGTTTGGACTATTTCAATCAAGCAGTGTGTTCACAAGTTTTTCTGTAAGTAGTTCAAAGTTAATTTTATATCTTGTTTGCTTTAACAACTTTACTGAATATTTTCTGTTTTTGGCAATCTGGTGGAGGTAAGCCAAGAGTGGTCTCTCATGGTGGTGAAAAGAGGTCTTCGACAGATATTCTAGAGTGTGCATACAAGCCAAGAAGTGGTGTAAAATGGAATGGTAGACCAGCCATTACTAGAAGACAACTTGAAAGAACTACTGCAACTCGTTCCAGAACTGCCGCATCTCAATCCAATTTAAGTCAAGCAAGTTCATCATCCCAGCCATCCAAGAACAACCACTGAATTCTGTTATTGTCACTGTTAATTTATTTTGGAACTGCTGTAATTTCCCTTTGGAACTGTAATTTATTTTGGAACTGTTGTTAGGTTAATTTGGAACTGCTATTAGGTTTGCTGTTAGTGTTGTTATTTTGTGAAGGCAACCTGCTATTATTTTGGTATGCTGTAAAACTGGGCAGCGTATATTTTTGTTAAGGCAAGTTGCTGCTATTAGGTGACTGTAATGAACACTTTTACTCTATGATGAAATATAGTTTTAGTGTTGTTTGATAATTTCTGGGCAGATGTGTCTTTATTATTGTATGAATGCTGTTATTTTGGTATGTTGTTAAGCATTTGTGCTGTCATTTTTGTATGTTGTTATTTCTGGAAAATTTCAGCATTTGAGCTGTATATCAACTACTATTTGACTGTATTTCAGTGTTTTATCAGTCACAATTTGAGGTGTGTTTTAACTGCACTATCAACTCACACAACAACAAAGTCAAACGAAACAACATTAACAATTGCCAAAAAAATCATTCAACTCACACAGCAACAAACTCAAACAAAACAACCTTAACAATTGCCAAAAGATTTCATTCATTTCTAACAAAAGGATACAAAATCTACCAAAAAACTTCATTCATTTTCTTACATTATATAACAATCTTTAGAACTACCTAACACAATCAACTTCAACACAATTGCAATTAAAATCAGCACACACAATCTCCTCCAATTTTTTTGGTTTCTATTTTCCTTCAACAATGCATCAAATGCCCTCTTCTTCTTCAGCAGCCCCAAAATCACCATTTTCAAGTGCTCTGGAGTTGGGGGGTCAAACCACATAAAGAAATTACATGCCGATCGTATGTCCCTCTGAAAAATTGAAGAGACAAAATTATTACGGAATATAAAATCGATTAAAAAAGTACAATTGATATTTACCTCATAAAATGGACATCCGTAAAATCGACGACCCGAATTATCAACACTCCATGACTGTATCACCACAGCTTCTTCACCACAATAGCAAAATTTTCTCAGATTATACATTTTCTCAAACCTTAAAATTAAGCCCCCGAAATTTAACCCTTATGTCAAAAAAGAGAAGGAAGAAATAGAAGAAGATTGTAATATTGGCTTCGAGCTTCAAGAAAAGGAATAAATTTTGGCTTCAAGAAGATAAAATTTTCTTCAACTTAGAGCTTTCAAGGAGGAAGAAGAAGATGAAAATCGGGTCCTAGTATAGATAGAAATGGGTTAAGACCCTTTAAATCTTTTAAAAAGGGTCGTTGGAATGTGTTTTTGACCGTTTATTAAAGCAGAAATTGTCTTGAAATACTGTCCACGCGCTTGGTCCAGTTTGTAGTACACACGCTTAGACCTGGTTAAAGGAGGTGTGTACTAGGCACACTTTAGAAAGGTTACGTGTGTAAGGTTATTATGGTCCACATAAAATGTGTAAGCGAGATTTGGGCCATAGGTCAGTGGCAACTTATGTAATTTTCCAAAAAAAATCAATGAAATAAATAGAAGTGAGAAATTTTTCAAGAAATGAGAGAAGCAGAGCTATATTTGCGGGCACATTGACAAATATATATACCTAGAAAAGAAGGCCGAACTGATGGGGATGTGGGATTTGGTATCCTCGTTGTGACAGAAACAGAACAAACGTTAGAGTAATCGAATTAGACACAACGTAACTGGCGTGTTCGGTCATCTTTTAGTACAATACTTTTTTTTGAGCGGATGTGAGTGTTAGAATAAAGGAATTCAAAGAGAAAGTCTGACACATTATATTTAGGTAACACAAGTTAAAAGTGGAAAAATAAGAGAGAATTTGAGTTATAAATGAATTAATCAAATTCGATTTAACTTTAAAATTTGGTCAAATTAACTCATCATGACAAACACATTGGAAGGTAATGAAGTGGAGGACTGCCAACAAGGGTTTGCAGTGAAGTGATAAATTCTCTTTTATCATTAATACCGTATAAAAAATTATATTCAAGTTTTAGATAAATTGTAGATTTTGATCGAATTTGTATATATTTTGTAAAAAGCTTTAGTTACTTTCTTTAAATAAAAAAATTTAGATAAACTGAGTAAAGAATTTTAAATTTTCGTATATATATATTTACCCAAGTTTACTTAAAAGACTTTTAAGTAACTACGTTTACTAGGTAGTCCCCGATTAAGTTTAACAGTTACCTATATATATGGGCAGACAATTCAACAGATAAATCCATTAGCATCACTAACCTCTGATCAGGCCTTACCTATAGTATTCTATTTGTTGAAACGCCATGTGTTGTTTTCGACTGCCCCTATTATTTCATCTTCTTCTCTGTTTCTACAATATGTACAATGTCTTCATCAAAATAGCTCAACTGTTGAGTTTCTTCCTGGTTTTGACGACCCTCTTCCTTTTTATCTTGAGACTGGGTAAGTTAAATTTCTTCTCTTTAATTTCTCTATAATATCTATCTTTTCTGTGCATGTCCATCTTCATTTCGCTTTTTCTCAAACTTGTCAAGTTTTTTAACCCCAAAATAAAAAATAAAAAAACAATACAAGACCTTAGTATTTCTCTCAACTTTTAATCGTAGTTAGTAGAGGTCTGGTGTTTTCCTCGCGTAAAGGACTATGCAAATGTCATAGACAAATTATCATTTCTTTGACCACTTCGTTTCTAACCTTTTTTTGGTATAGTGCCTAATATTTTCCCCCAAATTCGGAAGAAAAATATATATATATTGTCTCCAAGTTACTTTCTTTTACTAGTATTTTCAGAACATACTGGCTACATACTAGTAGTAAAAAAAATATGTTGAAGTGAATGCATTTTGAAATTATCAGATACATTGGAGTAGGCAAATCAGAGGAAGTGCAACTATTCTATTACTTTGTTAAATCAGAATCCGACCCAAGAAAAGATCCCCTCTTGCTATGGCTATCAGGAGGTCCTGGTTGCCCATCCTTCTATGGCCTAGCATATGAAGTTGGTAAATATATGTCACNGTTAGTAGAGGTCAGCCTGTCTGATGTTTTCCTCGCGCAAAGGACTATGCAAATATCATAGACAAATTATCCTTTCTTTGACCACTTCTTTTCTAACTATTTTTGGTATAGTGCCTAAATTTTTTTCCCCAAATTATGAAGAAAACCATATTGTCTCCGAGTTACTTTCTTTAGTATTGTCAGAACATACTGATCGACTATATAGTAGCTAGGCAAACAAATTTGTTGAGGTGAAGTGCTTTGAAAATGTTAGATACATTGGAGTAGGGAAATCAGAGGAAGTGTAACTATTCTATTACTTGGTTAAATCAGAATCGGACCCCAGAAAAGATCCCCTCTTGCTATGGCTATCGGGAGGGCCTGGTTGCTCATCCTTCTATGGCCTGGCGTATGAAGTAGGTAATATTAAAGTGAGTTAGGTTATAATATATTGACAGCGTAAAGATTTTTTGGTTTGTGTGAAACTCAAATTAGGAGAAACTTTTTACCTTATGAATTCTCTTTTGTAGGCCCTTTGGCTTTTGGCCAAAAAGCATTCAACGGAAGCCTACCAATTCTCATTTCAACTCCATATTCATGGACAAAGGTGACACAAAATAGCTTCTTTTTTCTTCACCAAAATGCATATATTGATAAAATTGTATAAACGTTGTTCTCACCCTAAATAGGGTGAGGACTTTTTATTTATAAATATGTACATCTGTATAAGCATATTGTACAACTCCCTAATGCACATACATAATTACAAGCATCCTCTTCTAACATATATATATATTCTCATGCAAGACTTCATGTAATCTTTGAATGATAGTTTGCGAGCATACTTTTCTTGGAGCAACCTGTAAATACTGGGTTCTCATATGCAACTACTTCAGCAGCATCTGAGTGTACTGATCTACAAGCCTGCGACCACGTCTATGAATTTCTGCTAAAGGTATTTGATAATTTCTCCAAGTTCATGAACTGATACGTATGAATTATAGTAAAGAGAGTTGACTCTGGATTTTCATGTGTTCCTCAGTTTACTCCTCACTTCGCATTGTTCGTGGAGGGAAGATCCAGCATTTAAACTTGATGGCAAAGCCATATCCAATGTAAAGGCTATAGGTTCATCTAAAGCCATAGTTTTCGCTTATACCCTGTATTCTTGCCCAAAAAATTTCTTAACTATGTAGAAATAATAAATTGTGAACCCATTAAATTAGATGGAATGCGGTAAGATTGCGAATCTGAACCCATAAAGTTCAAATCCTGGATCCACCTCGACTTGATGGCCTTAACATTTATGATTCCTAGCGCAGATATGGACATAATTATTAGGCTATGCATAGTTCTCCTAACTGATTAATAGTGTAAATTGAAAGGATAATGAGAAAATGAAGACAACAACCAAATATAACAGAGATGTATTGCGAACTAAGTTGTGATTTATTTTGCAGTGGTTCATTAATCATCCAGATTTCATTTTAAACCCTTTGTATGTTTCTGGGGACTCATATTCAGGCATCACAGTTCCAGTTATTGCTCAACTAATATCAGATGGTAAGTGCCATTTACTATTATCATATAATCGAGGCTTAGATCATTCTTATCACCCTATTATTCTTTAGTGTATGCTTTGTTATTATTGTCTTTTTCTTTTTATCCATCCGGTAAACGAAGCATGCTGGCCTAATTAATCCGAACTCGTGCTTTGGTAGGTCATTAAAAGGTTCTTCATTCTTATGATTCGATACCAAGTTTATACTTCGTTACTATTGATTATTACTTCCACGGATATTATAATATATGGAGAACTACATTCCTTTGTTGTACCTCCAAGTCTGAATGTGTAGCATCATTTGGTTGAACAAAAGGTGCTTAAAATATTCCTAGCCCAAAGGTATTTTCTGTTGACATTTAAAGAGTGATATGAGAATTAATGCAGGAATTGAAGCAGGCAAAGAGCCATTGATCAACTTTAAGGTTTTCTATTCCTTTCATTTCATGTAGCATATATCTCTTGCATGGAAAATTATTGTTTTTGATGGTAATATACTTTCAGGGCTATTCAATTGGCAATCCTCTAACATTTCCTGAAGAAAGCAATTACCAAATTCCTTTCTGTCACTCATGGTATGGGGCTAATATCTAATGAACTTTATGAGGTTGGCTCATCTCTTGCTTCAATTCATTTATAAACTCT